GCGGAGTGCCGCGATTTCGCGCGACCACCAGTACACCGGCCTCTGAGGCGGAGTCTTGGCCCGGGGCATCGCGCAGTCGCAGATCGACTGCATCGCGCCCCGGAACCACTCGGACTCCGCCTCCAGGTCCGCGACGGGCCCGGTCGGCGGCTCCGACCAGGCCACAGCAAGGGAGGCTGCCATCAGCGCGTCCTCATCCAGGGCCCTGAGGGCCCAACGGCGCGGCCTGTGGCGGCCGGCTGGGCAGCGCGGGGTGGTGTCGGACACCTCCATAAATATATAGAGGTGGTCCGACAGGGTCTCGACCTCGGAGACCCTCCACCCCGAGACACGGCGCGCGGCACCAGGGGAGGCCCATGAAAGATCCACGATGCTCTCACCCTGGTACCGCACGCACGTGCTGGCCGACCCCCGATTTAGCAATCGGAGGCCCAGGCCCGCCGCCCAATCCAGCACCGCCCCTCCCCTCGCGTCCGTCCTGGGGGATCGCCACGCCTCCGCGTGGGCGTTAAAATCCCCCAGGACGAGTACCGGACGGGGTGCAATGCGTGCGACAAGGTCGCGCAACCCGTCCAGGTACTCCTCGAAGGACGCGAGGGGCCAGCGGGGCGGTGCGTAAACACCGACCACCGCCAGGCCGCGCCATTCGACCGCCACAAACCCCTCCCCCCGCTCAATGAGCGTAGGGGGTGGGGCCTGAGGCGGTCCTCCCGAGATAATTGCCACGGAGCCGCCCACGCCCCCGACCCAGGACGGTCGATCGAGGACGCGGAACGGCTCCGCGACTACCGCCAACGCCACCCCTCCCGCCAGGCCCTGGACTATCAGGTCCTGGGCCCGGCGGGAGTGATTGGCGTTGGTTTGCAAGATCCGGACCGGGGGCGCCATTTTAAGCCGTTATCATGGCCTCCCCCCGGCCCGGGTCCTTGCTTGGGCGCTTTTCAGCGCCCCCACCTTGTGTCTCCGCCTGCCTTCCCTGGGCGGGGGGTGCCCGCCCCTTTTTGGGGGGCGGAGCACATGCTTTCGCCCCCAATCGGTGCCCGGCCGGCCGACCCAGATCCGTGCATAACGGACATTTCGGGTCGGCCGCCGGGCATTGGCCCGCCCGGTGGGAGGAGTCGCCGCACCTGTAGCAGCGGCGACTCCTGTCCACCCCTGCAGTGCACCGTTGCTGGGTATGTCCCTTCTCCAGACAACGGTAGCACTGCAGGGGGCGGGCCCGCAACGCCTCCACCCTCGCGGCTACCCAGCCTACCCTGAGCCTGCCAGCGGTCGCCAACTTTCTGGCCGCCGCCAGCGGACATCTCACCCAGACTGTCCCCAGGCCGTTGGGGGAGGACCGGATCGCTCCTGTCCTCACCCCTTCGACCGGGCACCCTCCGGCCGCCGCTACGGCTGCGGCCACCTCCTCCGGTTTTGCAGAATCCTCGAGGCCGCTCACCCGCAGTTCCCCGAACTTGGACGGGTGAGCGACCTTTGCCGTATCATGCAGTACTTCGCGTAGGCGTGTCGCTAGCGCCTCCGCTTTTTCCTCTCTTCCAGGGCCGGCGACCTCCAGTATGAGGGCCCCTGTCCTGGCACGTCGGGGACGCACTTCCGTGATCCCCAATTCTTCTATTTTTATTTTCTCCCTTGCGGTGGCCATTATTCCGGCATACGTTGCCGTACTGCCGGGGGCCACCGTCAGGGTGACAGCCGCCGACCTCGGGGGGCGGCTTAACAGGGCCGCACCCCTGGCCTTCCTCTGTACTGGTCGCTGTGGTTGTGGTGGTGGTGTAGGCGGAGCCTTCGCGGCTCGTCGCGCCTTACGACCCACAACCTGTGACCAGGTGGTGTCTTCCCGCGGCTGTGGCACGCCTCCTGTGGGAGTTCCCCGGGCAGGGGGTCCGCCCACCGAGGCTGTACTCGCCGCTTTTGCAGCCCTCTTCGGCTGGCTGCGAGCCGGACGTGGCTGTGCTGCGGGCGTGGCCACGGATGGCCTGCGCGCAGACTGTGCCTGCTCTGTTGGCGCCTTCACCGACACACGTGCAGGACGTGGGCGTGTCGGTGGCGCGACAACGGCTGGTGGGGGCTCGGGTTGAGCCACCACACTCGCCGTGGTCTTCCTTCTTCTCCTCCCCCGGCCACCCCGCCTCCTTCTTCGTTTGGGGATCGGAGGTGGTGGTGGAGGGGCGCCTCCCGGCGTGCCTACACTGGGTGGAGGGGCGGTTTGCCTCCCGCTCTGCCACGCCTCCATCGCGGATCTCATTTCGGCCCGCATTGACGAGACTTCCTTCGCCACAAATTCCTTAATTGAGGCAATTGCCTCCATCATGTCGTCCCGTTTCTTCCCCTCGCTTTCTCCCTCCGGAGCAGGAGGAGGCGCGGTCAGTTCCCGCGGTGGTGACGACTCCCATATCAAGGGCGGCGACCAACACATCCGCGCCGGCGATTGCAGGCGTGCGGTGGTGACGACTCCCATATCAAGGGCGGCGACCAGCACATCCGCGCCGGCGATTGCAGGCGTGGCGGCGTTGTTGCCGTCTTCTCTGATGCGCGCTCGGAAGCTCGCTCTGATCCGAGCTCCGCCCTAAGAGCATCTACGTCCTTGCGCAGAGCTGCCGCCTTCAAATCTTCGATTTCCGCCTTGAGCGCGGCAATCTCGGATCTAAGCGCGAGATTGTCGCTCTCAAGGTCGGAAGCATTACTCCGCTGAATCGCCTCCATGCTTGCGCAAACAAGCATATCTGCGGACTCCTTGAGGGCTTTCTGCAGCTGCCCCTGCAGACGCCCGCTTTTGGCCGCCGTTTTGTATATTACATCCCCCGCGTCAAGGGCCTGCTGGCCGATGTCGGCGAGAGATGTTTTTCGCAATACCTCCGCGATACTGTCGCGCTGCGCCGTGTCCGCTTTCTTGCGGACAGGTGCTGGCACTCGCGGATCGAGTATATCCTGCACCAGCTTCTCAGCTGCGGCCTCTTGATATTGATGGAGGTCCGCCTCCTTTACCGCCAACTTCCGGTGATATTCGCCGGTTGTCTCAGGCCGCCCCCTACTCTTTTTTCGAGCAGGAGGCGCCAGTATTCCGGGCTCACTCGTATCGCTACCGCTGGATGTGGCAGCTTCCGTCAACTTCGAGGGCCCGGCCGACGCCCCCGACCCGGCGGACGCCCCCGACGAAGACCTTAGTCTCATCGGCGAGGGGCCCGCCGGGGCGGAGGGCCCCGGTCGCGGCTCCGGCAGAGACGCCCTTTTCCGAGAGGAGGAGCGGTCCCTCGACCCGGAGGCCGAGGCCCGCCCCAACCTCTCTTCAAGGGCGCTCATCTTGCCCTTCATACGTTCGACCATGATAACGGCTTCCGCCGCCACGCTCGACGTAGCTCCGTCCCTAGGGACCACACCTCCCTCCTCTTCTTCATTACCCCCCTTCCCCGTTTTTTTAGTTAAAGATTCCATGCTTGTTCCCACGAGCGTGGTCGGATCTATACGTCCACCCGGGCAGAGCCGCCTTACCCGGGCAAGGCTGATTACACCCGGGGGGGCGCCAGGTACCCCGGGGTGGCCGCTAGCGACCGATGTCCCACCGGCCACCCCCCGGTGCATCCACCAGGGGGCCCCCTCATCACCGCGCGCCATAGCTTGGGGGTAGGGTCCTTTTTTATAGAGGAGGACATCCTCGCAGACCGGCCGATTAAGGCAAGTCCCCCGTTCCGGCATTTCTGCCGGCTTACGGTTTGATTGGCTCAGGTACCACGGGGGCGCCATCCTCCCCGTACCGCGCCGCCGAAGCGGACACGGCCCCTGTGGTCACCACTCGTTTCGTTCGCCCTCCCCCCCGCCTTTTCAGCCGAGGGGGAGGCCCAGGAGCCCCGCGTGGAGGTGAAACGAGTGGATTTGGCCGGATCGGGCCCGCCGACTTCGCCGAAATTCGCCGCCCTGGGCCTCGCCTAAAGACGAGTTCCAGTTTGGCGAACATCAGCTAGATCGTGGTGTCGTCCCAGTGTGGGCCCAGCGTCCCCCTGATGTCGCCGGACTCCCCGCCCGCATTGATTCCGCCCCTCGGGACGAAATCAACACAGGCGAGGGCCGACTAGTCAGGGTTCGACCGAACACACATCTGGAAAGTCCCTCTCCAGCCTCATGCTCCTAACCTAACCTAACCTAACCTAACCTTTTTTTTTTTTTTTTTTTTTTTTTTTTTTTTTTTTTTTTTTTTTTTTTTTTTTTTTTTTTTTTTTACGTGGGGGAGATCCTCATGGACACCCCGTCCCCGGGGATGGGGACGAGGTAGTGTCGGACTCCTACCGACTAAAACCCCCACGACGACCCTCCTCGGGCGCGTTTGACGGAGCCCCGGGATCTCGCGTAGCGAACACAACCGGGACTCCGCCGCGCCTAGGCTTTCGCCTCAGCTCGGGGGCGGAGGCGCGCCTCCACCCCTTCGCGTTCTCTCCGCGGCACCGGGGAGTCGTGCCCGATGCCGCACGTCGCGGTGCCGCGTGCAATGGGGAGATCCGGGCCCCCTCCCGAAACTCCCCGCGGTCCAGAGACGCCTGTTGGAGGAGAGATTTCTCTCTCCTCGTCCTGCGTCCATTCTTCGGCGGGTTGCTCCGCTACGGCGGCGCGGTGTTGCGGCGCCTCCTTCCTCCCCGTGGTCGAGCCGGAACGGTTCGTCTTCTTCTTCGGAGCGGGTCGTTCCTCTCCCGATCCCGCTCCGCTGCTTCTTTCTTCGTCAGGACGTCCTCGCAGAATGCCGCCACTGCGGTCCATTCCCTCTCCCCTGAGAGCATCGCGGCGATTATCGCCGCCGGGGAGAGATCCCATCCGATCACATGCTGGAGATCTCTTCTCTGTCCGTGGAACGCCGGGCACTCTTCCAGCGTGTGTTGTGCGGTGTCCTCTTCCGTTCCACCGCAGTGGTGGCATTCTGCCGTGTCTTCCCGTCCTATTCGACGCAGATACGCCCCGAAGCAGCCGTGCCCCGTGAGTATCTGCGTCATCCGGTAGGTGAGCCTTCCCCGCTTCCTGCCGATCCACCTCTCGAAAACCGGCAGGATCGCCCCCAGGGCGCGTGAATCGGCGGAGGCAGCAAGGCGGCGCCTCCACTCCTCCATCGCGCGCCTGTTGACGTGGCGCTTCAGCTCGGCTTTCCTGTTCGTCCAGTCTGGCGGGGCTGCCCCTCCCCGACGGAGCTCCAGGAGACGCCGGTAGATGTACGCGTCTCCCTCCGCCTGGAGGTCGAATGGCATCAACCCCGCCAGCACAGTCGCCGCCGCGTGGGACGTCGTACGGTACGCGCGCGCGACTCTAACCGCCATTCTTCGTTCCACTCGCCGCAGCAGATCCTTGCTACGGCGATTGACGGCCAGGTCGCGCGCCCAGACGGGCGCACCGTACAGCGTCATGCTTCTCGTGACGCCCACGTAGAGGCGACGAACTCTCTCCTCCGGTCCCCCGAGGTTCGGCAGCAATCTTCCCATTGCCACGGCCGCCTTGTCGACTCGGGGAACCAGCCGATCGAAATGAGCGCCGAAACGCCAGCGGGAGTCGAGGGTGAGACCCAGGTACTTTAGGGTCGTTCCCACCTCGACATCCGCCCCACCTACCAGCAACCGGGAGCTGGGCGGCACTCCCTGCCGAGGGCCGAAGAACCAGACGGCCTCGGTCTTACGGGGCGCCACTTCCAGTCCCAGTCGCTCTATCGCCGAAACGACGCAGGCCACTCCAGCCTCCGCCGTCCTCAAGGTCCTCCTCGGGTCACCCCCGGTCGTCAGCACCAGCGTATCGTCCGCGTAGCACGTGACGCTGACGCCGAGGGGAAGAGCCACCCGCAGAACGCTGTCGAAAGCGACGTCCCATAGCAGCGGGCCCAACACCGACCCCTGCGGGACGCCTCTCTCGACGATCTTTTCTCCTCTCGTTCCGTACCGCCCCGGGTACTCCAAGCATCTGCCCCCCAGGTACGACCCGACGATCCTCCTGAGGTAAGGGGGCACTCGGTGGTGGATGAGCGCCCCCCTAATGGCCTCCCAGGGCAGAGAGTTGAACGCGTTGACGATGTCGAGCGACACCGCCAGCGCGACTCCACCCTGGGATACCGACGCGTCCGAGAGGGCGCGGACGCGGTTAATCGCGTCCATCGTCGAGCGTCCCTCTCGGAATCCGAATTGAGCGTCGCTCAAGTCGGGCCCCACGCGAGACAGATGCCTGGTGAGGCGGGCAGCGATGACGCGCTCCAGGAGCTTACCCGCCTCGTCCAGCAAACAGATGGGGCGGTACGCGGATGGCGTACCCTCGATCTTTCCTTCCTTCCCGAGGAGGACCAGTCTCCCTCTCCTCCACTGAGAGGGGAATTCTCCGCCCCGCAGGCACTCCGTGAACAAGGCCCGCAGGGGCTCGGCAAGGACGTCCATCGCCAAGGCCCACACTCGTCCGTGGATTCCGTCCGGGCCGGGGGCGGTGTTCTTCGTCGCCATTCTCCTCACCGCCCCGGCCAGCTCCTCCTCCGTAACCCCCAGGTCTTCGGTCCAGCGGTCCGGATCCTCATCCTCTTCCTCGAGAACGGGCCGCAGCGCTTCCCCGGCTGGGGGAAACAGCGCGTCCACGACCCGTTTCGCGACCTGGGGTTCCAGGCCCTCCGTAACCGGTGGGGCCCACGGGCGTAGCTTTCCCAATACCATTCGGTACGGGCGTCCCCACGGATCCCGGTCCAGAGAGCCGAGGAGCTCCTTCCACGCCTCGGCCTTGGCGTTCTTGATGGCACGCTGCAGGCTCTTCGTCGCCTCTCGGTACTCACCGTACAGCTCCGCCGCTCGTGCGTCGTCGCGTCGTCTTCTCCTTCTCTCTCTGGCGTACCGGCGTCGGGCTGTCACGCAGTCCGCGCGTATTTCCGCGATCCGCGCCGACCACCAGTACGCCGCTCGCTTCGGGAGTGTCTTGGCCCGGGGCATGGCGGCATCGCAGACTGCCGTCATCTGCCCCCGGAACCACTCCGCTTCTTCTCCCACGTTGGTGACGATCCTAGCGTCGTTGATCCACGCGACGACTCGAACGGCTGCCATCAGGGCGTCCTTGTCCATCCTCTTCAGTGCCCACCGCGGTGACAGGTCTGCCAGACGACGGGCACGGGGCTGAATCCGCGGGGTGGCGGAGACGTCGATCACGATGTAGTGGTGATCGCTGAGCGACTCCGCTCCCTCCGCCACCTTCCACCCCGTCACACGTCGCACGGCAGCCGGCGTTGCCCAGCTCAGATCTATGATGGACGAGCCGCGCTGCCGCACGAACGTGGGAGCGGAACCCCTGTTCAACAATCGGAGTTCCGCCTCCGCCGCCCAATTCTCCACTGCTCCGCCTCGCCTGTCGGTCCTGGGGGACGCCCACATGGTGGAGTGCGCGTTGAAATCCCCCAGGACCAACACAGGGCGGGGGTGGAGGCGCCTCACACACGCCCCCACCCCGTCCAGGAATTCATCGAACTCGTCCAAGTTGAGGCGAGGCGGCGCGTAGCAGCCTATCACCGCGGAGTGCGCGTTGAAATCCCCCAGGACCAACACCGGGCGGGGGTGGAGGCGCCGCACACACGCCCCCACCCCGTCCAGGAATTCTTCAAACTCGTCCAAATTGAGGCGAGGCGGCGCGTAGCAGCCTATCACCGCCAGCTCTCCCCACTGAACCGCGACATATCCGGATCCACGTTCCACCAGAGTCGCAGGAGGCGATCCCGGAGTGCCATTCCAGACGGCTGCCACTCGTCCGTGGATGTCGCCGTGCCACCCCTGTGGCACCAGGTACGGCTCCGCGACGACGGCCAGTCCGATTTTCCACTCGCGCAGGGTATGAATCAGCAAATCATGAGCCCCGCGCGAGTGGTTCAAATTCCCCTGGAGGATTTTCTGCACCGCCATTACACGGCCGGTGCAGCCCCCTCCGGGTTACCTCCCGTTGCCGTGATTGTTGTTGCGGCCGTCGTCGCGGGCGTCTCGCCAGTCTCCATCCTCCTCTTCCTTGTATCCGCG